CGCCTTATGATAGCAAGCAACGCAATGGAGCTGGTCATGGCTTCCAACACGTTTTTTGGCAATTTGCCTAATGAACCAAGCATAGTACACACTGGTGAGCATCAAGATAAGATAGATTAACTTCTTTATGAAGTTCTTGAGCAATGGCAATCTCTTAAATTTGTAGAGGAGCAATGTGATCAGGTTTTATCAATTGTTGATACTGTTGTCAGGTAATTTTGGAACTACAATGTTTATTGAGCTTTATAAGATATTTGGATGGCTGCAGAGTTCAAACTTGGACTATTCATTTTTATGAAAGGGATTGGGGCACGCAAAAGTAGCAGGGCAAATTATGGGCACTAAAACTGGGCTGTGCTTTAATAGCCGCTACATAAAAAGTAGGCCCAGTAGGGGGCTTAAGCTCCCTCCCTCTGTTGGCCTTCCCCCCTGTTTTTCCTCCAATGCAATTAAATGTCATCATTTTTAAAGACAGCAATATTTTAGCAAAAATATACCATGCTATAGTTTTTGATTTCAGGCTAAGAAATGAACTGAAAGTCTGGCGCAGACACATGCAACTCTTTTGATTCTGCTTTTATATGCAAGTGACATTGGTTATTTTTTAAGGTCAGTTGATGAAGTTAAAGAACTTTTGTCTTCTCTAAATGCTCGCATGGATCAATTAGATAGTGTTAACTCACCTTCATTTTCAAAATCTAATATTAGATGCCCAAAAGAATTATCTGAATGTTTATTAATTTCAATAATGTTGAATATTGTTCCAATCTAGTGTGTTGTAAAACAATTGTACAGTGAGCTAGAAGAAGATACAGTTTTGATTCAACTAAAAAGTACTTTTATTAGAATAATGATTATACCTTTTTCTAAGTACTTTTAGTGACAAATATAACAAGAAAGTAACTGAAAATATAAAATATCAAAATTCATCTGAATTTTCTTGAAAATTTAAGGAAGCTAAAATTAACAGTAAATTAATAGCTTATATTGCTATTTTTGATTTAAATATTTTGAGGATGTGTTTATAGGTACTATGAATCCAGATAGCGCTTATTCCTAGATTTGCCAGAAAGAGTTGAAAAAAAATTCAGAATGACAAAAGAACTAAAGTTTCTTAGCATCAGTGTGCAGTAAGTGTAATTGTTTTCGTTACAGTTTAGTAAGTCTGTCGCAGCCTTTAATACTTTCTTCTACATACTTTATTTTTAATTTTTATTTACATACTACTTTCCGTGGAAGCCAGTTATTCCTGTTTTAAAGAATAAGGAATTATACATTTTTCTTACTTTATTGATAGTGTATGTTACAATTATTGCAGATATACTTGCATCGTAAAAAAGCTCTGAAAGGTAATGAGATGTCATATTGGAATCAAATAGATTTTAACGATATGTGACCCGATATGGGAAAACCAGGCTATCAGCGGGAATTATCATTTTGAGCTATGGGCTCATAATCACGAAAAATTTTTACCTGGGCAAAATTCATTTTATGACATAAACATGTTATATAAACAAAATCCTTTCATTTGATACCAAAATCAGGGGTAGCGAAGCCTTCTTTGCCGAGTTATAAGCCCTTCGACATTTTACCTTGATTGTGCACGGAGAATGTTACACGGAGCGACCACGGAATAAAAACGGAGGGCTTTAATGCGTCATTAGGTAACCATGGAGTCTCTATAGCAACTATTTAAAGTATAACAAAGACGAAGAAGACTACTTATAAAAACTATGGCTACAGAAAGAGACATTGCTCGCTTGTTAAATGAAGAAATAGGTCCTCGAGACAGTGACTACGTTGCTTCAGTTCTTGGGGACTACTTTTGTGATGAAACTATAGTAGGGCCACACTGACTTTTTATTGTTATTATAAGTGCAGGTTTGGTGGTCACGTGTGAAGTAGCTGCTAATTGTTTGTTAAGTGTTTATTTATATTGTGTATACCAACTATGAATATGATTATCTCAAATACAGCAC